AAAACCTTTGAATTTTATGTTACTTCATGTTAGTATCATTCCATCCTCGTTTGAAATTTTTCAAACACACTTGGCTTTGTGAGTTTGTGCCACTATTGCTTCTTTACTTAATAACTACGATATTTTCATTCAGCCAGGTACACCATCAAATTAATCAAAATGTCAAATGTATAATAATAATGAGAATTGAAGCTATTTCGTTTCGGATATATTAATATACTTAGGGAATCATTGGAAATAATTTCCCTTTTCCCCAATAATTTGGGTGTCCAAAGGCGTCCACTTTTTATTCTAGGGCGTCCCAGGACGCCTGGACGACCTTCTGGCTAAAAGCCTGCTTGAAAGGCAAGCGTGGTAATCACGACACTACAAATACTGGTTACAGAAGTCGTTACGAAGGGCCTTCGCTCGAAACGTCGATGTTCTCCTAGGGCTTGTATTTTTCACGTAGTTGTATCCCTGTCAATCTGCTGCTAGGCGTAAAAAAAACCTGTGGTTCCGGTTTCATATCGTGAAAAAATTAGGGTCGGTAGGTCGGAAATAATTTTTGAATATTTTTTCATGGTTTTGGCGGTTTTTTGCTGGGCGATTTGCAGTAGAGTCCCGACATCAATATTAACTAGAGATGCGTATTTCCTATGGACAAATTTAGGCAATTTGGTTCAATAATTATTGTGACAACAGACGCCATTTTGGCACGCTGTATGAGCAGCCCACAACCAACTGGAGAAAATAGGGTCGCACGGTCAATTGCGTTAAAAAAATAATAGGGTCGGCAGAAAAAAAAAGGGTCGGTCGGGAACCGGAACCACAGGTTGTTTTTTTTTACGCCTTATCTTTTCACCCACTTACAATGTTTTCTCGATAAGCATTCTCTTGGTCGACGATGCTTTTGACAATATTTGCATAATCCTGAAACGTAAATTTGGATAATTTACAGTGTTTATGGGAAAAAAAATGGAATTAGGCAAAAACAACAAAATTATCCAAAACAAATGGATGTCATTAACCAACCTGTTTTGCAAGTATCCTTTCTGATTTTTCAATTTCTTTCCCATCTAGAGTCTAAAATATATATAACTTTATAAATAAACTGAATTGGGTTCCAGCTTAAAAAATGTTTACAATAACACCAGCATGAAATATAGACTTACTTTCAATTGAGGTAATGTCGTAATAACATATTCTCTGTAGCCTGTGAACTGTGTGCAAGGATTACCCGTCAAAAACCTAGATAAATGGAAATTAACACTGAAGTACTTACAGTTACTTCAACAATATTTAGCATGATTGCAACCCAAATTAACTTTCTGTTACTCTGTCAACATTTTTGGGTACACACGTAAAAATCTCACGACTTGTCTGCAAGATGTGTTCGCATTACTAATAGGCTTGTAGGAAGCTTGTCAACAAGTTGTAACAATGCTGTTATTTTATCAAGGTGCTACAAGGTTGTCACTCAAACAACAAATTGTTAAATTGACAACCTTAACTTGGTTGACAAATTGTTGAATTGCAGGACGATAACAGGTCGTTGGAACAACTTGTAACAAGTCTACTAAGCTCAACAACCTTGTAGCAAGTTGTCAACAAGCTGGGAACAAGCAGTGCGAACACATCCTGTTGACAAGTTGTTGGAACAGCATTGCTACAAGTCTGCTGCAGGTTTGTTACAACTTGTGCGTTTTTACGCGTATACTCTAAATCTTTTCAATACTTCAAAAGGAAATGAGCAGTAAAACATACAATTGTTGCAAATGGTGGTTAACCTCCAAGCTCTTGATACTTGTTAATTCTCCAACGAAATTGACAGTCAAGTCTAGCTTCTGCAAGGATTCACAACCTTAAGAAGAATACATTTTTCATAATATCTTTCATACAGATCCATGTTGAAAACGCTTTTGTTA